TGGAGGGACAAGGGGCAGTGACTTTATTTAGTGGCGAGTCACATCCGCCACGTCGCAGTGTTGCTAAACGGACATTTGTGGTTTTTTATAGGGAGATCGATTGCCAGGCGGAAACCCACTACGTCCTGGAACACAGCCGTCGAACCATTTGCTGGAACGGGAAAAACCCGAACCACCCAGCTGGCACCACGAGCAGGTTGTTCGGTAATCCTAAGAGGTTACTCAGTCTGGCCTGTTGAGATGTACTACAGGTGATTTCCGGGAGACCTGGTCCTCGCCTATCACATAATAACAGGTTAAATCGGCCCTGGTTTATCTGCATTGTTCCATCACACTGGGGTGTGAAATCTTCGTGCCTATCCACTAAAGTTGCGCTAGCTCAGTGTGGACCGGGTTGTGACTGATTCTCGGTTATCACGCCGGGTCTTGGACTCTTGAGATGCGATAGCCGCCGAAGTAATGATGGCGCCAACGGTGGAAGATTTCGAGCATCTGCTTGACTCCCTCGGTCTACAATTTAAAAGCTTCCCCTTCATTTCAAGGTTTTGCTCTTATCTTTCGATGCTTACAATTTGTTAAATTCTCATTTGCATTGCAAAAGCGTTACATTCATTGCTCCATCTTGCCTTGTTTTTGTTCTTCTTCCACTTTTACTGCATTTCACTTGGCCGGTACTGCGGGGCTGCTAGTGCAGGGCACGTGAGCATTGTTTGCTTGACCCTAAAGTGTACCGTGTTTGTCGATTTGTCACCCCATTGCAGATCGACAAGGCTTTACAACGTGGAACAAGCACGGGATTCTCCTACTGTTCCTTTTCCCACTTGAACTTGAACTTGAAGGTCTGACTGCCTTGAAGCCTTGAATTTCAGGGCAAAAGTGTATTCGCGTTGGCGCCACAGTTGGCAGAGATCGTCTAAAACGCATGTAGCTTTTGTTGTGGTATTCATGATCTCCTCTTCAATCGCAAAGGGTCTAATGCAGCTGTCTAAATACTTTAGTTTCTAGACAACGTTTAGCTGATCCACACCAACGGTCAAAGCAGGGCTGGGTCCCTGCCGATCATGCGGAAGGACTTCGCATTTCGTAGGTGTATAGCATGGCCCGGAACGACTGAAGGTCAGAACTAATTTATGCAGTGCAAGTTAGTACTTTCCGGAGCTGCCACCTATGAGGACCATGTCGTTGGCATATTCCAAGTCAGGACTTCGGTCACTTGGGAGCAGCTCCACATCTTCTTAGTTGTATCCGGCGAACGCCATTTCCAAGACTTCATCGACAGCGAAGTTAAAGAAACTGGTGACAGCGGGCAACTATGTCTCACACCGCTTGAAATATTGAAGAGAGGCAAAAGTTTGTTGCAAAACCTCACTCTGCCCGGACTATGAGCGAAGAGCGCTCTTATGACATTGACATATTTATCGTGTACACCTTTCCTCAACAAACAGTACCAAATATCAGACTGATTAACTGAATCGGAAGCCTTTTTGATGACTAGGAACACGTTTGATGGCCAATAGACATGACGGTGTCCCAACTATTGGCGTAATATGACGATGTGGTCATTGCAGCCGCAAGTGCGACAAACCCCAGCCTAGGCCACGCACATCTGGCTTTCACGGGTACCAGTCAGTCTACGGAGGATGAGAGAGGCAAATAAGGTGAGGCATTTGCGAGCAGACTGATTGCTGTTTGACTGCCGAATTCCGAACGGGATTCCTCCTATTAAATTGGGACTATTTTCAAGCTGCTCCAGTCCGTTGGGACAGACTCCTACACCCATAGATACACAATTAATTGATGTAACTAGTACAAATGAGAGGGTGGCAAGAATTTAAAGACGGCTGGTGAAATATTTCTGCTCGGTCGGCGTTGTTCAATTTTAGCTGTCCAATCTCATGTTTTATTTCTGTGCCTGAGGGCGACCCCAAATAGACGGCCCAAGAAGTAGAACACTCACTGGCCGATGGAGAATCCAGCAACTTTGACCGGTTGAAAAGCTTCGCAGTTTGCTGGCCCAACGCTCTACGTGCGTTGACAAGCTGTGGATCTTCTCTCCACTCTGGTCACACATGGTCTCGATAACACCAGGTATCTAGTTGCTCAATACTGGTAATGGACGGAATAACTTCCGAAGATTACACAGAGAAACGGCTGCTTATTTCTCCTAGGAACGACAAGACCACTAGGCTACGCGCTGTCTCTTCAGGCTAGCTCGCAGTTCTGCCCTGCGATTTTTTCGAGCCTGTGTATTGGCTTCCATCCGGAATTTGTTGACCAGCATCCATTAGTTCCAGAGACTTTGTAGAGACACAAATTCTAGCTTGGCTATTTGATTTGCCACTTAACAACAGTCCTGCTAAGAGTAACGTCTGGTGAACATGCGACAAGGTATCTTCAAGTTTGTTCTGTGAGCGCTATCTCAGCCCAGATGCCAGCGTAGTTTGGAACGCATTCAGATCATCTGTCTTCGACAGTTATATGGTGTCTATGTGTGCACGCTAATTGCGCGTAACTTCGGTAATTTTGTTGCGTGTGTAGCATTTTTAAGTAACTTGTGGACATTTCTTACTTATCGCGGATTCGTTGCTAACCAACTTACTTCATATGCTAATTTAGGGAAGACTTATGCCACCGTATCTGTATGCATTATTGGATTTATTTTATTTCAGCTTGTCGTTTAAAGTGAATGGCTGTTGCTTGATATCCTCGGTATGGCTGCGCTTGATGTGCATGTTGAAAGGTGCCTACATGTCTATTACTTACTACCTCGTTCATACTGGATCCAGCAGACAGTTTGTCGTTGCTGGAGGGGACGGGGTGCACGGTCCTCGTGGTCGTGCTATTCTCGAAGTGCGGTTTCATGCACTCAGCGTGGAGCGGCCTACGGTCCAGCCACCGCCTATTGTGCGCTTGATTTTCGAAATACAGCGTGCTTGTGTTTGCCTGTGAAGGAGTGTGGGCCGGCTCTGTTGATGAAACGTGGCTTCCATCCGCATACCTCCCGGTCTTATTCCTTCTGGTTTACACTGGATATGTGGTGTGTGGTTGGAGCTGTGGGTGGTGCTGCGCAAGCCACCCATGGTCCCTCTGTAGGCGCAGGCGTCCTGTGGCTGTCCACAGTGACAGTCAAATCCGAAACCGGATGCCGCCAACCATGTGTGCACAAGGCCCTTGCGGACCGGCGCCGAAATGTACACACAGGTAGACGCAACCAAGCACGTGGTCAACATTCATACTCATGTTCCAAATCGAGCGACAAGTTCTAACTCATTCTCCCCAACAGTAACTGATCGCAAGGGGATTGAAATGCATCCACGGCTGGTTGGAGTCTGCTCGCTGTCATGTTGACCTTCTACGGATGCTGTGGCGGAATTTAGTACTTTCTAACAAGCGACAAGTTTGTTCACAGTGTAGCAACAGCTAACTGTTATCATTAGGTAGTCTACACCACGTTAGCCCCCTAGATGCCACTCAGCAGTGGACTGTATCTCAACTTAAGCGCTCAGGTCTCCAGCCAGTACCACAGTATCCATACTTCTTCTGTAACCGAGGAGCGCGTTTGTTTAATGCTACAAGTGTTTCATCGAATCCGCGCTATGATTTGTGGGCATGTAGGATGCAATGACAAACGAGCGCCGATTATCTTCACGCGACTTCAATGTTTTAACGAGGCAGTCAATTTGACAGCGCACATCCGGCTATTCCTTAGCATCCAGTCGATCAGTGCAGCTACAGCCCCGGGGCTAAAAGCGATGCCTACACCGGTTTGACCAGCAGTTGCAGCCGCGTCATCTCCGGACAAACAAAATTATTATATACCCCAGGTGTCGCACATTGGGGATGGTAGGTTGTGCACAGAGTTCGAATCCAGCGGACGATTTCCTGGTAAGCAGCAGATATCGGTTGTTAGGGTGGCTAGTATTCGGGTAAGTCTACCTGTTGGGCAATCCACAAAATTCACTCACTTGTAGACATGCTAGTCTTAGGGAGGAGCGAGAACAACAAATAAAAGCAGAAAAACCGATGTTGTCCGTTTGGTTGGATATGCGCTTGTCACCTGAACCGGAGCAAAGACCTGCTTTTGCCCGTGAGTCGAAACTAGAAGATAAACGACTAATGAAGCAAAGTGCGGGAGGGAGAAAAATTTTGGTTTAAAAGTGGAGGGGGTTAAATGCGAAGTCGGAATGGAACGATGATGCTGGTAAATGACGAGAGAAGGAAGAAGAAGACAGAAAGATTAGAGCAATTGCATTCAAACCCATATCCACCCTGCTCGATGCAGTGGATAGCCCACCGTTGATTATCTTGTGCGAAGGCTATAGCATCAAGAATTTGTCTGAGGAAAGGTTCATTATACTGCGTGGGAAGGACACTGTCAGGTTGTTTAGATCTAGACAGAACGATTAGGGTCCTCCAATAAAGCCTTTGGTTTATGACCTGACCGCATGGCAGCGGTGTTTGGCTCTGGGCTATATCGAGTCCATTTTATGAACTAAGGAAACAATCTTACTTACACCCTCAACCCTGCGATGCAGGAGACTGAATTTTCAGGCTTCTAATCATTGACCAATCTGGTATGATTGTTTCTGGAGGTGCGAAATTCCCTCCCCAGCGTAGCTCAGTGTATAGCTGAGGCAAGTAAACCAACGAACCACTTTAAAGTCCAGTCTCGTCGCGATTGACTAATATAGTGGAAGTTCAGGGGGAATCTGAATGAACAGACGGAAACGACTGTTGGTATTCGTGGAGTTCCGAACGTTAACCTCATATGAGCGATGCTAAGCAATCAACCATTTCTGTCGGCACCCCATGAAATTTTGGACATCCGAAGTGGCGGGAAAACTAAACCGCTGCCGAAAGTTCCACAGTATATAACTGTAAGTTGCATCGTCAAGAATCGTACGTAATCCAATTTATCCTGACTGGTTACCAATATGTTGTTATAGTATACCAGTACATGCTCAAAACCAATAGCTGATATACTTCCTCTTTTGGTTTAGTAACGGGATATTCAACAATGTGAAGGCAGAACCGTCAATGAGCGCATTATCTGGTGTCCATTCCAGGGTAAGTATTAAGTCAATTCGTAAGCAATCAGTTGTTAATGATGAATAATGACGCAGCAAGATTCAGCCCGAAGGCAAGCTGGTCAACGAATATACTCGCTGCATAACTTTCAGTGAAAGTTTTCTTTCTGTACCAGATCCTTTTTAGTTCGCATTAATGTTATAAAATTTTTTGCAGCTGGTACCATCCAGCATTCAACAGCCGAACTGAGTGACAACGTGGGCAGTATAGAAAAGTGCATTTCACCTATGACTAAACAGCGTTAACGAATTCGGTTGCTTTGTTTCCTATTCCGTGCATCGATTAGCACTAGCCTTGAAGGAAATGTGCGCGTGTCGTCAGGCAACTCATGTGTTATTGTGTTGCTTCTCAAAGCATGTGGTTGCAAGTCACTACAAGTATTCCAGACAAGCAGAAAGTATCCATGTTTTGCGGCTTTCGTTCTCGGATAGCAGATAAGAGAATGATTACTTCTGTTCATTTCTCCAGTTCTTGCCTGGGATGTGTTTGCTTCATGTTCTCTAAACTAAATAGCGACATTCCTTATTTCGTATGCATTTTTTATCTATTCCCACAATTACATTACGATGCACTAGTGTTAGTTAATTTATAAGCTTGAAATGCGGAACATTTCGTGATTTTTCTATCAAGGCATAAGGAGTTACGTCAGTTGACGAAGCATCCCAAACAGCTGTATTGAATGATTCATAGTTATCATCCATTTATCTCAGGAGGTGGGTAGAATGCGGCTTTGGTCGCGCCACGAAGTGTTTAGCATCCATCAGTTGCATGGCATTCACTACTTCTACGCGGCAATTCCGCCTTTGTTTTGTTCTTAAGACAAAGTTACGTGTTATTTTGTTAATCAAGCAATTGGGAGTTTCGTCCTTTCCATCTTACAGTTAGGCAATAGGAAGCAAATGATCGCTCCCACCTGAGGATGGTATACTATTTGTCTCGAAGCATAAAATTTAGTTGGCCATTTAGCTCCGCTGTCTGACGTAAGTCTACACCTAATCGCATAAATTTGCTGCGGAGAACTACATATGAAGGTACATTAGGTCAAATAACAATGGGACAGTGACATTTAAGGAAAACAGCGAAATCTCGACAACTCCCAAACTGAGAAAAAGTCCAGTAAAGCAGATTATACATTTGTAGATGCACCATAACATCCAGGCTAACACATATGCTTATCCATCTCCCGAAATTTGTTGTTTGTTTACGTCTGTCTTTATCTGATGAACCCGGAGCACATCGTATAATGAAACTGGTGTACTGCATCGATGAATCGCTTTCAAACGTACATAAAATGGACGCAGAGAAAACAGAAGTTGAAAGAGAGTTCCACAACTACCACAATCGGAGGGAAGATGAGATGGGCTCCTTTGTGACCTTCTTTAGTGCATTGCCAGCTTCAGACTGCGGTCCCTTGGTTTCTTGCTGCGGCTGCTTCAAGAGATGATAACAAACGCGACTAGAGTTTTAAACATTGGATAGGTTAGAATAAGGTCCCCATGGCGGTGATGCCTTCCACTTTATGCTCTTAGGGATGGCAGATGGGACTTCATGTTACCCTCCGCTCTGGGGTATAAACTGCATCGAGACCTGGCTTCTATCAGGGTAATTGGGACTTCGTTACGCACATTACATGTGATTTCAGGTAACCGCTCGCATTTGTGGAAGCATAAGAAAACGGTCAGAATGCCGTCCACAAAAGATCCTGTAGGTTGCCGGCTTTTGGCAAGTTAACAAGTTGTTTTGAACAACCCAGACCAGCCCGAATAGCTATGTAAAGTTGGGTTCCTGTGAGGTTGTCTGCAAGATGTGTTCCCCTAGTATATAAATGCCATTTGACCGGTGATGTATATCTGAGTAGCTTAATCTGGAGTAGCTTAATCTCAGACCCTTCAGAACAGTGAGAGAACGTCACATAATGGGTAATAGCTAATGTTTAACAGGTTTCATAAAATGGGCGGAATAAAAGTTGCACAGTGATCAGTTTTTCAAAACGACTTCAGTACTTTCCTATCGAGTTCATTTTGTTTTGGTATGAGAGATTGACTACTACCCCATTGCTCATGGACGCACTTCATTTTGCTGTCTGTAGTGCGTCAAGTTCTTGGATGCCACGCCTGACTGATGTGTGCCACAGTGGACCGCAAATAGGCACTAAGCATTCGTGGAAAGATGGCAGGTTTAAACCGACCAAAAACTGAATCAAAGACTGACATTCTAAGTGTAAGTTTTCGATACTTTCTGTGATGGTTTTGAGTAATTTAGGGCGTCTTGAACCAGCATCCGCAGTTCACAGTAATGGGAAGCTTTTGGCAAAGGGTGGTTCTTAAGTCTGTTATGTAAGCCTGATGATGAGGTTAAAAATTACATACAAAGTAGCTGCATTGAATTTAAGTCGGTTCCTCGTCGATTATGAATGAACACCATTGAGGTCACTTTGAAGAAAAATTGGATCTTCATTGCTACTCCTCGCTCGCTATAGTTTGGCATCCACAATAAAATAAGAAGTTACAGGCTGGTGGCTAATGTGTTCTCTATGCTTGGAAGTTTTTGCTGCCAACTTTTCTTCTCCAAGTGGGGTGATACCCTCATGTAGCAAAACTACTCGACAATGAAGCACAATCTCCACTGATGCCATAAAAGTCAATCAAATTAATCAAGCACGTGAAATGATATGTCATATTTCCCTCTTACAAAACATCGCACTGTCCCTATTTCGCTCCTATGTGGATGCGCATTTGAATAATTACTACATTTTTCACCCCATAACAACGCATCTTCCTGCACTTTTCTGGTCGGCTAGAATTCGTCCTACGTCTCAGGGTTTGGTTAGTTGTGACCGTATTACTCTAATTTGGGTTAGTTCCGAAGGCTCCAACACAGACGTATTCGTTGGATTTCTGGTGCTTTCCACAAATATCGTCGCTCTTCATTTCGGCTCAGACACATTAACGGGCGCTGCGCGCGACACAGTCTCAAATCTTTCCATCAGGACTGTGCTGCTCTTTCTATTCCCCATTACATTCACCCTATTTTCGTGATCTTCCTATCTTCCGATAAATTCTTACCTTCCGTCTCCCTACAAGCAATGCTCTGTTGTAGAACGCAGCGGCGCAGTGTGAAATGTTAGTGAATGTGCGTCAGGAAGCCGTGTGCGTGACGGATCGTCTGGACGGACAAGCCGTCAGTTTGGGTTCAGAGTTTTCTACGGTCACAACACCATTCAAAAAGCTTTATCTGATCCCAAAATTGCGACGTCAGCACATGTCCCCTGTGATTGACGTTTTACGTCCGATGTGCTTGTCTGGCTTCCTAGTTCGCCAGGTTCAGTTGAACACATTGTTGATGTTTCATCAGTAGTGCTGTGTAGATCGCATCTATAGTACGATTTGTCGGTTCACTGGATTAGCGCTAAAGTTCCATGGCTCCAATAATTCTGCTGCGTACTTGGAATTGCTAAGTACTAGTATCCCTAATTCCCCTAAGTCAGTAACGCCTTGTGGGACTTCGTGTGTACAAATCAAAAATTGTTATCATGTCTCCTGATGGACATTTTGTGTTTAGTGCTCCATGTCGAAAGTTTCTTTCCAGTTTGCTCTATGTATTAGTTGTCACATTATCTGCATGGCATCTTGTAGACGACAAGTTAATACCTACATTCTTTGAAGTTTATTTGTCCTGAGCGCGAAACTGTCACAGTATAGCTTGGTTTGTGCGCTACCGAGATTCTGTGTAGTTGTAGCAGACTCGCTGTTAGTTTAGACAGGTTCTTATTGTATGCAAGCCTTATCCGCTCTTTTTCTTGTGCTTTATAAGGCGGATGCACTTTATCTCCCAGATTCTTCTAATAATCTTTCTTAGCTTCCCGTTGTTTTGCAATGTTTGGGTAAATGATTTGGTTCCTTCTTATTCTATTCCATCGTGCTCCAGTGTGTTGCGGCCCTTCCCAACGGATTTAAATGCAGCACATTTTTGTTTTAATGGTTAGTTGCTGTGCTAGGAGCACACTTAGGTTGTCGGTGAAAACTACGAACAAACTTAGACTATCAATGAACCAAGTATTCCAACTCGACTTTTTGGAGACCCTCTCCTTGACACTCATTTGGAGCATCTTTGATAAAGTAAGATGGAGTTTCAGATTCCATAGCAAACACATTTCAAGGGATGCAGTAAGCCAGATGGTCAAAGCATTGCACAACTTCAAATGGATGACATTGATGGCAGCCCTTACGTCGGCCATTTCCGTCCAATTACCTCGCGTCATCCACATTTTAGGGATGCATAACCGACGTCGACGGAAGCTATGATGGTGCAGCGCAAAGACATCGGCGGGGACTACTCCCATCCCTTTTGACCGCAAGGTCAGTGATTCATTAGATAGAAATTAGCAGGGATAGCATAGCTGCCGCCTCCAAAAATAGAGGCAATAATACCACAACATTAAAATTGTTGTTCATCCAAAGACCTTTGGAAGAACCGCGGTAGAACTTATTCATTTTAGTAGCCAAAATCTGCGGTTCCTTCTGACACATGTTATTAATTCCTGATGAGGAATAAATATGCATTGCAAGCAACCTTGGCACACAAAGTTTATTAAACCGCACATATGTAAATCTAGCAGTAGGTAATATGGATGCCGAAACGTGGCAAGCGCACGCCGCAGTTTCGAACGTGGGCGCATGCAACAACCACAGGTCATTGGCGGCTGCCTGGATGCTCCGTTCTTTGCCAACAGTGCTCGTTCTCTCAGCCATGTTGTCCGAAATCCGGCAGTATTTCGAGTCGTACTAACGAAATATAGCAGTATAATGGGCTGAGTTTAGTTCTGTCCAAATTGTATTAGGGTTCCACTTTTAGTTGTTCACTAGCATTCACACAAATTTACGACAACCTAATCACCGAAAATGAACTTCGTTTAAATGAAAAATTGCTTCTTTCAAGAAAACAGTAGCACGGTTTTCACCAAATCCGTCGAACATTAT